GCCAGCAGTGGAGACAGCAGGCACAGAGTCATCTCCTGATGACCCTTCTTCCCGCCACCGGCAGCCAGGTGGACCTGCGGGAAGCTGTGCAGAAAAGACCTCATTAAATCATTCGTTTGAGCTGCGTTTTCTCACCTTGTGTGAGAAGGAGCTGGGAAGCCCTGCCATCGTTAGCGCTGTCCTTCCTGAACCAGGGGAGTCTGGCAGAGGGAAGGAGTGGGACTGAAGCGCCACGTGCCTGTCATGTTAGCCGGCAGTAATTTTCCACGGCGATGAGAAATCTTTAAGTGTCACAAATTCCAATAACTCCTTTGTGGAACGGCTAATTTGAGAGACTTCGTCTGCCGAAGGAGGTAGAGAAACGATGCGGGCAATGCTGCTCTCTTGCTCATTAGAGGCGCAACTGCTGTGTTGGGATAGGCTTTATTTCTGTCAGTGTTCGGGCAGTGCGCGGGGGCTCTCGGGAGTCCTGCGAAGCCCAGCAGAGCCCCACGGCTGTTTAGGCTGCATACGATGTAGCAGAGATCATCGAAGACCCAAAGAGATGACAGTGGGGCAGATGCAGGATTTGTCGTTAGCCGTGTTCAACAGATGAGAAACCAAGGCAAAGAAAGATTGAGCGAGTTGCCCAACATCATCGGAGGAGTCGGCAGAATTGGACAAAGAATAAAACTGTGGACCATATGCCTGGAAGCGAACTCCTTCCTCCGCGCGGACCCTGTTGTCACAGTCAACCAGTTCAGGGAATCCAGTTCAGAAAGGTATCGAGCTCCATTTAAACCGGGTAGTTTTCCTGACCCCAGGACTTTTGTTGGAGGTCTGTTCCAGACTCTCAAGACTCTGGTGCCTTTATAATTTCCACTTGGTTTATACCTGTTTGTTCTTATGTCACTATTGTCCTTAAAGAGCTCTCCTCTCTCTGCTTGCTGCCCCTGGGGTATTTGTAGAGAGCCCTCAGTCCCTCCCCAAAATCTCCAGACCCCTACTCCACTCAGAGCCGTAACAGAGCAATCTTACCCAGTTCTGGATAGTCTGTTTGATTGTCTTGTGAAGTGTTTGACAGTGCTTTACGTAGAGAAATGGAGATGATTAAAATCACCTTGGCACCTGCATTTGCAGGAGGGAAGATCTGAGAAGCCTAGTCATTTTCTGACACATTAAACTTCAGAAACACCAAGCCTCGTGGGGACTCGATTAACGCCATTACCATATCGTCAAGGGGGTCAGTCTTGAGTTGGAGGCGGCGCTCAGCATGGGTGGAAAATAACCCTGGCACATTGAAGTGTTTAGCCTTAGCACTCTCTTACAAGAAGGGTCAAATCCTCTGCCATGCTGCAGGAGGAGGAGGAGGAGGCAATTAGTCTCGTTGAGCCAGCAGGAGAGGGAGGACTCTGAAAAGAGTGAGGCTGTTAAAATTAAAGTTAATCTGTCACTAATCTCTGGTTATGAGATCTAAAAAGGGATGTTACTTGTGACTGACTGCAGCCCAAGAGAAGCAATGAAGGGAGAAGAAATGTTGTTTAGTAGCTATAGCCAGGCTTACGGACTTGCTTAGACCGGAGTAGCTAAAATCTATCCAGTTACACGGATCTAGCCCCTCTGTAGACAATCTAAATTGTACTTAAAGGATTTGATCCTGTATCCCTGGAAGTAAAGCGCACCTCCCCTGGCTTTGGAGTAGGATCTACCCTGGAGGGAGAGAGCAGAACTAAGCCAAGGCACAATTTCAAACCACCAAAATCTCCGTCCATAGGAGCAGGTTGCATAGACAGATGCAACCAGATTGATTTTGGTTAAACCGCAGCGAGTCGTCTAATAGAGATGGACAAAGTCTAGCTGTCGGGACTCCTGGGCTCTGCTGCCAGCTCGTGCCATCAGTCACTTTGCCTCAGTCTCCCCATTTGTCAGACGAGGCTAATAACCCTTTGGTGCCTCATAGCAGGATTGCAAGCCGTGATAAGTTGATGTTTGCAAAGTACTCCAAGATCCTTATGTGACAAGTGCTTTTTACCACAGCAGTTTTAATGTTGTGAAAGGTGCCAGATTGATAGCCCCGGAGGCTGAACTTTCCCCGTATTACCTGCAGAACAAGGAGAACGCCCACAGAGCCAGTGCAGCCAAGCCACGCGCCGCCACGGCAGGGCACCTTCTTCTCCCAGCTCGACGTGCCACCTCCAGGGATGAGAAGAGAAAGGCACGTGGAGCCCACGGCCTACGTGCTAAACTCGCCGTGTCTGGCAGCAGCGCCCTCCAGCCTGCTGCTCGGCCTCTGAAGTCAGAAGCGGTGTAGCAGCATCTGTGAAATACTTGGAGTAAGGTAATTGGTGCAGCTGAGTGACAGGCCAGTTAGCCTGCCCGCACATTAATTATCCTGCCTGAAGCACCACACAGACACAGCTACACTGCTTGTGGTTTCAGAGGCAGCGCAGCTGCCTGAAGGGGATGCTACTGGCTGCAGTAAGTTCACTATGTAGATGTGGTCTCAGAGGAAATATTCCTTCTCCACCCCAGAGACGTCCTGTGGGTCTCCTTCCATCTCTTCCCTCCCTGCAAATGAGCCATCCTGGTTCTTAGTACTTCCCAGCCCTTTTGCATTGCCCAGCGCGCTAGGGACATGGGAAGTAGTGTGGGGAGGCAGCGTGTTTCAAACAGGCTAATGGATGCCTGAGGTTTGAGGCCAGTCAGCATTCAGAGCTGCAGCCCAGAGGGAGGAAGGAGCTTGTGTCCCTGTTCCCAGCTCCACGAGCTGCCCCGGCCTTCGTCAGTATGGCGGCATGGCTGCTCTTTCAGACGGCATTTGCATCCAGCCTCCGCGCTGAGAAGCGAACGTGAAGTTACTGGGACAGCTGTCTCCCTCCCTGTGCTGGAGGAAAAGGGCTGGCAAAAAGAGCCGCTGAATGCTCGGCTGGGAAGGTTGGTTGGTGATGTGCCAGTTTACATCGGGTGAGGATCTGGCCTAGGCTTCACATCGCCTGCCTTCCACCTCCTCAGCCGTAATAAGATTACGCTTTGAGGAAAGAGAAATCGATTTATTCCTACTGCTCTGACAACCGTGGCAGTGCAAAAGGATAAACCTGCCTCTGAACTATAGCGTCTGAGGCTGCCTGTGTCAGTACCAGAGCACTGTGGAACTGATTCGCTTTGGTACGGCGGCAACAAAGGGTCCCTTGCAGACATCCAAGCAGGTTGGCATCACGATCTATCTGCCTGGGTGAGACGACTCACTTTGGGGATCCCCGGGACATGCTCCGCGGTCAGCCAGTGGCTTTCAGAGGTCTGGGGCCTCACGGGGAGCTTTGCAGCAGGAAACAGATGCTGCACCAGAGCCCTGGGGTGTAGCGGGTGAGACCCTGCTGCCTGTTATGTTGCCTCTCAGTTGAATCGTGGTGTTCTCCTGCACTCAGGGGGAATTCATCTCCATGTCACAGCGTCAGGTAGGAGTTATGTCCCCGTTCCATGACATTGGACGGGGTAAATTAGTTTTAAGGTAATGACACAGATGTGTGGATAGGGTGGATTAGTCTCAGTGTGGAATTGGTGGGGCTGCTGATCCCAAGTGCTATAGTTTTGGGGGTTAATTAATCTCCAGGCATTGCTGATAGAAGGAGTAGGGGAGATGAATAGCTGTGCAGTGCTGCTGGGAGAGTGGTTTAGTTTCAGAGCATGTTATTAAGGTGAAGCTGCACAGTAGGGGTTAGAAAGCATGACTGTCAGCACCATGCCACTAGGCTCTGATTGCTGATAATTTGGGGGCCAGGGTATTTGTAATACTTCCTATTAGGAGCCTTTACCCAAAAGACCTCTGAGTACTTTATACTTAAGGATGTTGATGCTCCTTTGAGGTCAATAAAAGCCTGTGATGCCTGCACACGAGTGAGCTGAGAGGTTGAATTGCATGTCCCAGTTTCACAGCAAGTGAAAGGTAAAAGCAGGAGTCCTGCTCGCTTGATACATGGGAGCGCTTCCAGAAATTCACTGCAGCTGGGTTTTCATGGCAGAAAATGCCTGTGCATTCACATGGGCACACATGCAGGGCAAGGCAAGGCAGGAGTGTACATCTGGATAGGCTGTGGTCAGACCAGGATATAGTGCTGACCTCACCCACCTACCTCGTGATAAAAACAGCACTGCCTTGTGGGCACAAAATGTTTACAGCAGGATGGATGAGATGCATTAGTTATCCCATAGTAAAAGCACATCTTCTTTGGAAAGCAAAGACGAAGTTTAGTCTCTGTTCGTTAAATAGGCCAACCCTGTGCCACAAATCAGCCTTGCATTGTCCCCAACTGCCCTTCCTCTCTCCTTCCCCTGTCTGATCTGCTGCTCTGCTTTCTGCTCCCAGCCCTGTTCTCCCTTCCCGATCTGCTGCTTTACTTTATGCTTCCAACCCTATCTGCTGCCGTGCTGCTTTTCCCCTCCCTGATCTGCTGTGTGCCACTTGCAGAGGCTGCCTGTACCGCTTGTGCCACAAGTTGGCCAGCCCTGAAATAGGTTACGGGTGGTCCTGCCGTTATGGCTTTGGCCTCAGATACAGGGGGTCCATAGCAACATGGCCCTGGTGAGACAGGAAGGTCTTTGCAGCTGCTGGTGAAGAGAGGACCACTGAGAAGGATGGGCACATTTAGGTGACGTGCTGGGAGCATGTTAGGATGCTGGTTTACCAGGTGCCACAGGGCCTGCCCCTGAGAAGCTCTTCCTTGCATCTCTTACAATTCAGGCCTTTGGCCACAATCTCAGTACAGATGCCAGGAGCAAGAAGAGAGTATTCTGAGTAGGGACACGTTTTAGTGTCGTAGTGCGGGTGGGGTGTGCCAAGGTTGTGTATCAGTGGATTAATCTGCCTGCTGTAATGTTAGTGGGGTACCTTGTAAAGGTAATGGAGCATTAATAAATACCTTTTCCAGGGCTGGCCTGATGGTTGTCAGTCACCGGAGCCATATGGCGGGTGCATACAGTAATTTGCACTGTAAAGTTCATTATTCTGCTGTTTACCTCTACAGATTGGCCACTGGCATGTTTCTGAAGGACTCACCATGGACAACAGAATCTTCTCTTCCAACATCTCTGATAGTCTGTTCAACACCACCCTCATTGTCACGACCATCCTGGTAAGTGAGAGGGTCACCTACAGCTCCTTTTCAGCCTGGTGTCTAGGGGTGTCAGTCAGCCAATATATTATTCCCTTCTTCCACCCCCTCTGCCCCTAGCATGCAGCATTGCACACTGATTTCATAAAGAACAGACGATCAAATCTCTAATTACAGCACTGAGGACAATTCATGACAGTATAATTAAACTCAAGTTGATGTTTCATATGGAAATGATATTTGATGAGTTCAGAAGCAGCTGGGGAGAGACGACTGTGGTGGGATATGTTGCATTTTTAAATTCATCTCTGAATGATGTTCTTGTTCTGTATACAGCTGGTAGGTGGGGAGGAATGGTTGTCCCTTCAATCCATAAAATTACTGAACATGAATAAGATGGAGACAGTTGTCATGACCTGGAATTGTGCATGTGCAGGTACCAGGGTCCTCACCCCATAAAGCCCCTGTGCTGCCCATCTCCCTTCCTAGACCCTGAGAATAGGTATAGCCTAGACCCTGAGAATTGTCTCCACCATGCCACTTTTTTTTTTTTGCCAGTGTCCCTTTTCAGTTGCACACCCCTGGGGTCAGTTCCCTGGGGCCAGCTGAGCTATGCTCTACATGAGGCACAGATCAGAGTGGAGGTAACTTTTTTGTTACCTTTCTGCCCACCCTCCAGTCCAGGGCAGATGGGAGCCAATTTGATGCCCTCAGTAACATTGAGAACAGCCCCAAGGCTGCTCTAAGTTATGCCAGGTTCAGGAATCATAAAAAAGCAGGGCTGGCAGGGACCTCGGGAGGTCATCTGTTCCAACCTCCTACTCAAGGCAGGATCATCATTCTCTAAACCATCCTAATCGCATGTTTCTCTAACCTGTTCTTAAAAAGCATTGGAATAGACCATTTTTCCAGTTCAGGATGGCTGGCCCTCCAGAATACTCCTTATGTCAGGTTAGATCAGTCATGTCTATAGATTTCATCCAAGGATTGCTGGTGTGGAACTGCATACATTAGCTTTCTGCTCCCTTGGGATTTTGTAATTGCAAGTGAAATCCCCAGTCGGTGTCTGAAGTAGACTTTCAGTCCCCCGTGTACCTCCCTTCTCGACGGGGAATGGAGCAGGACTAAAATCTGGCCATTGCCCTGGTCATTTACTCCCCGGTAAACCCCCGTCGTGTCCCCTGCTCTCCGAGTCATGCTGTATTCAGTGCTGTTGGGATTCCACGGTTAAGATGGGAATGACAGCTGCCCAGTTTCGATGCAGGAAAACCCTTACTTAATGCTGAAGTGGAACCACCAGGAGCTGGAGGGAAATGATCGCTATGAAGGCTTTTGTGTGGACATGCTGAAGGAGCTGGCAGAGATCCTCCGCTTCAACTACAAGATCCACCTCGTTGGGGATGGGGTGTATGGCGTGCCCGAGGCTAACGGCACCTGGACTGGCATGGTGGGGGAGCTGATTGCCCGGGTAAGTGAGACATCGGTGGTTTTTAACCTTGATCACAGTGCAGTAACTCAACACGAAAGACCCCCAATACCTATAAGGGTTTCTAACATGACAGGGACTGTGTTTTTATTTAGCATATATGAAGCTGATGTGAAAAGCTGCATTGAAAGTATTTCCAGATTTCTAAGCACGTGTTTAGTTCACTGTGACCGCTTCTACATGAGCAGCGGACTGTGCAGTTGTGACTGTGTGGTCATTTAGTACTTGCCTACCCAAGTACTACATGATTGCGCAGTAACAGGTGTTACTGCACAGTAGCATCCCTGCATGCTTTTTCTTTTTTTCAGATGCTACTGCTCAGTAGCCACGAGCTACTGCACAGTAGGTCATTACTACCGCACAGTTGCATCACATCGTAGTTAGTGCCCACCAACACTACTGCACAGTAGGTCATTGCTACCGTAGACGGACCCAGAGACAATGTTGGTAGCAGAGCAGGAGTTCGGGCTCTTGGGTTCTAGCCCTGGGTCCGGCAAGGTGGCTGCCGCAGGGGACTGAGAGCTGACACTTGTGGAGAGTTGTTTGGAAAAGGACAACTCCCCATATGGAAATTGTGGGGGAAGTGGGGGGGAATTGTTCCTATCAAAGCAATTTTGGGGCAAACATGAAAACTTCAGGCTTGGGGCTGGAAAGCTCTTGGTGGAAATGAGCTATTTTTCCAAGAGGAAGTAGGCCCTTCTTGCAGAATAACGGAACTGAAAATAAAAAGCAGATTCAAGGGAAAACTCTAATACTAGAAGTAGTAGTAGATGATTTAAAGTGCTTGGAGTGGGACAGAGCCTCGGGTTCTTGGGCCCTGTACCCAGCTGTGCTTAAAAGTGGTGTCAGCAGTGCTCAGAGACTGACAGCCAGGTCAGCTGGGCTCAGTTTCTAGGTTAGCCAGAGACTTGCTGTACATGTGAGCTTAGGCAGGCCACATCACATCTCCGTTCTTCAACGGGCCTATGAGACGAATGGGAAAATAATACTTTCTGAAGGATCCTGAGGCTTAAATGTGGTTTGTAAAACAGCTTTAGGGTCCTTATTGAAATGAGCTATGCAAGGGCAAATTATGAAGATAGATGTTATTGCAACCAATATTTGTTTGCTGTTCAGTTTGTGTACTTCCTTGTTATTATAGGGGTGTATGAGAGAACCAGATTGCAGCGCCTCAGCAGGTGTGAATCAGCATTAAAGTTAATCTACCTATAATTCTGACACATCCGCATCACTATAGCATCTGAGCACCTCATAATCCTCAACATATTATTTTCCCAATGGTAGGGAAGTACCATTACCTTGAGGCATGGAGAAACTTGCTCAAGGTCACATGGGATGTTTATGGCAAAGGAAGGAATTGAACTGGAGACTCCCACATCCCAGGCCAGCACCCTGTCCCTTGGACTTCATCTCCCCATGGGGCTCTGCCTACTGACACCAGCTGAGATCCTGGCCCCCTCTTTATTTCTTTGTCTTTCAGTTTGTTTGCAAATGCTCTGGGCTGTTGGCATAGTTTTTATACATGTGGGACTGCACATAAAAACCAATCTGCATTATTTCTTTGGGGTAGAGAAGAGGAACGCACACAAAGCAGCATGTGATCTCTGCAAGCAAAGAGAAGAAACAAGCCATCAAATTTTTGGCCTACTAACCTTGACAGTATAAATGGTAGCTGCTGATTTTTTTATCTTATTTTTTTTGCAGAGATAAGTGTTTTAACCTCAGCTCCATGGAGAAACAGGGGTTTCATACCTTGCTTAACCTTGTTCAGAAGGTGTTTGCTCCTGTTTGAGCAAGACTGTTGGAGAGAACTGAGAAAGACCCAGGTACAAACTGGGGAAGACAAAAAAACTCGTGTGACATGTTTGCCGTAGGCCACTGGAGTTGGCAAGAGACTTTCAGATGGCTACAGTGCACTTTAGATCAGACTCTGTCACCTCCACCCTCCCAGGCAGGGCAGGATTGTTCCCTATAATATAATACTTACTGTTCATGAGAAACCAATAATAAGAACATCTCATGAATAATCTGGGGTTTGCTGCCACCAGCCCAGCCCTGAGACACACCTCTCTGCAGACACAATCTTTCATAAATGTTTAAAGACAAGAAGGACCTTTCTGAGCATGCAGTGCAAGGCAGGGGCTGCAGTCCATATGGAGCACTGTGCTGGACTCTGAAGAGTTAAATTCTGTTCCCAGTTTTGCTTTGGGGCTGCTGACGATGGTGGGCAAGTCACTCTTTGTCTCTGTGCCTCAGTTTCTTCCTCTACTAAATGGAGCTAATGATTCTGACCTGCTTTGGAAAGCATGTTGAGAATGAGGGGTGGAAAAAACTAAACACCCACAAGATATAATTAATTATTGTCTAGTCTCCTCTTTGGCATTACAAAGGCTGTAGCTGTTCACCCAGATATTCTGGCTTGAAGCTCATTGCTCCTGTCTAAATTGTGCCTGCTCTAAAGAGTTTGCTGGGACAGCTACAGTGATGTCTGTAATCTGGAGACAACCACCATTGCCTGCTACTTGGCTACCACTCACTTCCAAAAGAGCTGAAGTCTCCCAGCCCAACACTTAATCTCTGTTCAGAAGAAGTGTTGGAAGAGCCACTTAGCAAAACTGAGGCTCATTTCTCAGAAGCACCAGGGTTTGCATCTCATTAATATTCAGGGAAGCACCCGAGCTTAGGTTTCTTACTGAATTAGACTTTAGTCATTTATGTGCATGCAACTGGGTGGTTTTTGGTTTGTTTGGTTTTTTTCTGTCTCTTTTAAATAAAACATGCACTTCTGCATGGTGAATACAATTGCAAAACTCCCTGCTTTATATGACAGCTGCTTCTCACTGACCTGATCCCTGTTCCAACATCTGCAAACTTTCTGGGGCACTCAAAAAACAAAGCCCTACTCCTGCAAATGCTTTTGCATCCACTTCATCACTAGCCATGCAGCAATGCCAATGAAGGAGTATCTTTGTTGGTCTGGTAGGTGAAGAGGGGGCTTCAGCACCTGTAAATAAATAGTAGTAAGAACATAGAGCTCAGATATCAGACTCCTGGGGTCCCTGCACACTGGATAAAGGGTTTGAGTGATATAGCAGAGCCTTACAGTCCTTTTATCGAGCTGAGAGTGGGCCGCAGATATGAGACTGCCCTCTGATTATGATGCCCCATGCCCTGCCACAGAAGGATTCTGGAATTGGAGGTAGGGGCACAAGGGGTGAGGTGCTCCAAGGATGGAGAGTCCACCACCTCTCTGGGTAACCTGCTCTAGTGCTTTCCTTTCCTCCTAGTAAGAAAGTTTTTCCTAATATCTAACCTATACTTCCCCTCCTACAATTTGAGCCCGTTGCGGCCTCACCAGAGCTGAATAGAGGGGAATAATCACTTCTCTTGATCTGTTGGCAACGCTCCTGCTAATGCAGCCCGGTATCCTGATAGCTTTCTTGGCAACAAGGGCACACTGCTGGCCCATATTCAGCTTATTGTCCACTGTAAATCCCAGAGCTATCTCTTCACTGGTCGCTGATGTATGCATCAGTTTGGCTTGCCACCCTACAACCATGGCTAGCACATAGAGCTGCAGCCGAAGGCAATGCACTGGATTGCTTAGGCAATGCTATGCTATTGTTAAAGGGTGATTCCTTTCTGACCCTGATCAGTTAATAGTCAAAGACATGAAATGTGATTACCGTGCTCTTTGTCTGCATAACTAGAAAGGACGTAGAATTATCTAGGCCTGTATTATTACCCTGTCACAGTTTTGGTCTTGATAACCCGTCCTGGGGCACTGATTCCCCATAAAGCGACTATGGGTTGTTTGGGGGGGAAAAAACGTATTTTATTTTATTGCTTCTAAATTAACCAGCCATTGATTTATTCTTAAGTGCTGGAAATTCTATTACAGCTAATTGTGCTATATAATATGATTGAAAAGAGATGCTATATAAATACAAATTTGTTGTTGACCCAAATACACAAGTGCATATCTTATCGACCTGCGCGCAGAGCTAATTAAGAGTGAACACACGCCAGGATTGGATGGCCCTGGGGATGAGTGAAAGGGCTATAGATTGCTTCACTTCTAGGTCAGCAGCTGGTTTGGGTCAGCAAACACCCAAAGTTGTTACCGTCTAATGGGACTTTGGCTTCAGGGGGAAACAGATTTGGAAAGCTCAGGCCAAATCTTGGCTGAAATCACAATGTTAATTGGGCCCTTTGTGAATCGAGCAGTGAACGAGTCGGGAAGGCCAAGCTCCTCTCTCCTCCTTGGAGGTGGGTTCAGAAGTGGAGCCCCTCATTGGATAGCGTTGTGACCCCTCTCCCTGCCAAACCTGCCATGGAGCTAGAGAGAAAGTTTCAGACTCCAGCAGTTTGACTGGTGCCTTGGACAAGCACTAACTGTAATGAGGAAACATGAAAGAACAGCAAATCTTCCACATTTCGTATTATTCGGTGACGCAGCCTTCAGGGACAATAGGGATGGGCTGAAAGAATTATGTCTCTCTTTTTCCCTTTACAATATTGTTTCTCACTTTGAGTCCCTCATGGTTTTCTCTTGCTTGCTCATCCTCAAGCTGGAATGTATTCGCCAGCTTGATACAAGCCAATAAATGTATTTTCAAGGCAATGTGACAGCTTCTTCTTTATTCTGATACAACTGGCTTTGCTGCCTTTGGTCGTGAGTTTCTGGCTATGCTCAATGTGTCTTCATAGTGTCTGGGCATCCACTTGTGATGAAACTTCAGTGATTAACTCCCTTGCTGCTACAGCTCTAAGGAGCAGAGGTGGTTTGGAGAGAGTCTTTCCCAACAGCTGTCAAAACCACCTGTCTTGCAGTCCTTGTCTTCCCAAAGTGCAAGGCTAGGCTATGGAGCTAAGAGATTTTTTTTTTACTGTGCAACCCACTCAGTAGGGAACTATGCTGCAGCATAGCTATAACTACCATCCCCTAGCATTCATCAGGCTCTTCTTTTTTGTACTGTAGT